CCTTGATGGTCAGCCCAGGCCCTGCCCTCCCACCAACCTGGCGGAGGAGCAGGGCCACTCTGTCCAGTCCTGCTACCTTGATGGTCAGCCCAGGCCCTGCCCTCCCACCAGCAGTAGGCCCCGCTCCGTGTCAGGGTCTCCCAGTGGCAGATACCTGTGTGGCCCAGGGACCCTGGGGAAGTGCCTGGGATTCTGAGAGACCAGTCAGGCTGATACAAGTTTAGAACTGTGGTTAAGAGACCAGGCATTGGCTCAGAGTCACCTGGGATGAGTGGCCTTGTCACCCCTTCCTGGTTGTGTGACCTTAACGACAATCATAATAGCTGACATTCATGTGCCATGCGTAGCGTCCAATAAACAGGAAGTCTCTCATTTAACCTTCTAAACACCCCACCTGATGAGGGAGGCACTCACTTTCCACATTGTACAGATGGAGGAAACTGAGGCACGTGGAGATTAAGGAGCCGTCCCAGGGTCTCACAGCTCCAGAGAACAACACCTGCCTCTCAGAGCCAGGAGTCAGGGACATGGTCCAAAGCACCCACGTAGCCCAGGCCTGACTCAGGGCACCTCACAGTCTTTACTGTTGCTGTTACACACACTCTGAACTGTCCATGTGGAGCCTCTCAGTTTTCCAAGGGTCCCCATCACAGGCATCATCGTCCAAGTCAGGACAGCAGAAAGGGGCTCTTCCCCCTTTCAGCAACTCCTTGGCTCCAGAAGGCGCCCCTGGAGCAATCTGCCAACAGGTGACCCTCAGCCCCCGGGGTTGGTGGAGGTCTTCCCCCTACTTCCCTTTCCCCATCTTTGCCCAGGTCCCAGCCCCACCTCCCACCCCGCAAGGCTTAATAAGGCACATTTCAGCTACCCATTTGCTGTGTCACATCTGGCACGGGTGATGACCTTTCCGAGCCTCAGTTTTCTCACCTGTGAAATGGGGTGGTGAAAAGGAGACACCCACGGTTGATGGGAGAATGAAAGCTAACTTCGCCTCGCGCGGGTCATCCCTCATTCCCCTGCGGCTGAGGGACCCAGAAGCGCTCGCAGGCACAAAGGCCCTCCGCCCGAGGGGGCGGGGGCTGGGAGGGGGCGGGGCGGGCTCGTCCGGGGCGGGCCGAGGAAGGGCGCCCGGCTGCCCCGCGTCACTGTGCCGGGCTGTGGCCGGGGAGATGCGGCTCCTGGCCCTAGCGGCGGCCGTGCTGCTGGCTCCGGCG